TTAGACAAAAGACTTGTAAATTTATTGACGTACAGTACACTTATTAAATCCGAAAATTCTACAGTAGTTTACATTTAGTAGTAATTTAATAATTAATTAAGAAATGATTTAATATTTTATCGTATTTTGTTATTTGAAAGGTCTGTCATGTTGAAGTAGAGGACTTGCTGTGACGTCACATAGATCCAAGGTCATGCTAACAAATATACGGGATCTGGCTATCCTTGTTAGTTTAAAGTCCTTGGGGCAATACGGTAATTAACTCAAAAACAACATTCTACCTTTACATTAATAACTTTATATAAATTTATTTAATTACTTCGACTAAAAGTTAAACTTAAACGTTTCAAATATATTTATAATTAGTAAACATTTAATTAATAAATTTATGAAAAAAAAACAGTTTTCAGGAATTTCGAGTATTACAGGTTGGCAACATTGAATTAACAAGAAAGATCGTGGAAAACACGTGTTACTTTCGTAGTATGTGCTGTTTCGAATAGTTATCATGGCCAAATTTCATAGTAAGTAGAATCTTAAATTGAGACTTTAAACGAAATTTTAGTAGTTTTATTTTACTATAAAAGTCTCGACACTTATTATTTTTGTATTGTCGATATGTTTTTGGTTGGATTATTATGTATACGTAAAAATCCGTAGAAAATTAAGTTAAGTCGCATATGAAGTACGAAATGAAATCTCGTCGGCTTATATTACGGTTCGAGATCAAAAAAACTACTTTCGGAGTTCGTACGATTATGGTTATCGACAGAGATTAAATCTTACGCTACCGGTTTAGTTTTATTGCCCACGAAAAAGCACCTGCGACCCTAGTAGGATGCCAATAATACCCGACAGAGAGAAAATCTTGTTCTAAAAACGCTTACGTAACATGAAACCAGAGCTGAAAAAACGTCGTCATAATTTATGCACTGGAGAAAATGGGGGTAAAAGAAACTATAATAAATTGAAAATTCTGTCTCTCTCTGTATGTTTCTAAATTCGACACGTATCAACAGTGGGTTTTCCGTTGAGTTCCTCCGTTGAACAAGTCGACGTATGTTTTGCAGAAAAAGGAAATGCTTGCATAATCGTGTAGTTGCATGTTTTATTTAACCGTACCTTTCCTTAACTCTTTGGTGCATGGTTGGCAACCAGTGGTCCGTGGACCATTGATGATCCGTGAGAAAATTTGGATGTCTGTGGAGAAATTTGGACATTGATCAACTGAAGTATTACGAAGTATTACAATTGAAGCAAAGTATTACGAAAGAAATGCAAAATGCTTAGTTGCTTTTTTTCACTCATTGGGGGTTTTTTATCTGAATCTAAAACCGAATACAAAGTGACTGTTATCAATAAATAATGAATAATAAACAATATTGTGAGTGCAATTCTCATCCTTAGTGGAAAAGTGCTAAGAATCCATAAACTTATTTCAAACAAGCAACAACAAACTTTAGGCTTGCATTAATTAATTAATTAATTTGTTATTATTAAACAAGCGAATTTCATACAGTAATACCCCGACTTACGCAAACCCGGAGTTACGCGATTTTCAAATCTCGTCGATTTGAAAATCACGTAACTCCGTGTTGTTTGAGCGCCACGCAACCCTTGATTACTCACTCCCCCCACACTATTGTTCAGCTTACACGTTCCTCACTCCCCCCACACTATTGTTCAGCTTACACGTTCCTCACTCCCCCCACACTATTGTTCAGCTTACATGTTCGGATGTGTCGCGCGAATCGACACATAGCTACAATTTATTTTGTGTTGTTTATTTCTGTGTTTGTTATATCTACGGAGACTTGAGAGACTCTACTATGTCATCCAAACGGAGTAGAACTAATTCTTCCACATCAAACAAGAAAAGAAAAACTTAGGAATGTAAAGTTAACATTGGGTATGTTCGTAAAGTCCAACGAGTTAAACGAGAATGACGTCATCGTTATTCCTATTTCGTTAGACTTTTCGAACAATTCGTTACTAACGCGTTTAACTCGTTTGACTTTACAAACGTACCCATTATTAAAGACTTTGATACAAAAATGAAAATTTGTGAATTGGCAAAGAAGTTTGATCTACCAGAATTGTCGGTCAGAACAATTATAAAAGGCAAAGAAAAAATTCTCGAAGCTGTGAAAAATGCTCAATCTTTAAATTCAAGCATCATTCGTAAACGTCACAGTATTATCGCTGAGATGGAAACAATGTTAAAATTATGG